GAGCGATACAAAGCTCGTCTTGTAGGTAATGGTGCTAATCAACAATCAGGTGTCGATTGTGGTGAAACCTTCAGCCCTGTCGTCAAACCGGCCACTATTCGCATGGTACTTAGCATTGCAATATCCAAATCATGGTGTCTCCACCAACTAGATGTCAAAAATGCCTTTTTGCATGGAAATCTGGATGAAACAGTGTATATGCACCAACCTCCTGGATTCCGCGATCCACAATATCCTGAACATGTTTGTCTACTCAAAAAGTCTCTCTATGGTCTAAAACAAGCACCTCGTGCCTGGTACCAAAGATTCACTAATTATGTTGCCACATTGGGTTTCTCTCACAGCATCTCTGATCATTCCTTATTCGTTTTTCATCGCGGTATTGATATTGCTTATATCCTTCTATATGTGGATGACATAATTCTCACTACTTCGTCTGTTGCTCTTCGTGACTCTATTATGTCTAAACTTAGTTCTGAATTTGCCATGAAGGATTTGGGTCCTCTAAGTTATTTTCTGGGAATATCTGTCACCAATCATACAGGTGGTCTTTTCTTGTCTCAAAGAAAATATGCAGAGGAAATTATAGAACGAGCAGGCATGTCCTCTTGCAAACCATCACCCACTCCAGTCGACACCAAGGCAAAACTCAGTGGCTCTTCCGGGAATCCATATCATGACCCAACTGAATATCGGAGTCTTGCAGGAGCATTGCAGTATTTAACCTTCACAAGACCCGATATCTCTTATGCAGTACAACAGGTATGCTTATTCATGCATGACCCAAAAACACAACATATGTCAGCACTGAAGCGTATAATTCGGTATATTCACGACACTATTGATTTCGGCCTTCACTTGCATCTCTCCTTTGTCAGCAAATTGGTTTCTTACACTGATGCAGATTGGGCTGGCTGCCCAGACACCAGGCGATCCACCTCCGGTTACTGTGTCTATCTTGGTGACAATTTAATCTCATGGTCTGCCAAACGCCAGCACACCCTCTCTCGGTCCAGTGCCGAAGCCGAGTACCGCGGAGTCGCCAATGTAGTATTTGAATCTTGTTGGATTATAAACTTACTGTTGGAACTACATTGCCCAGTCACAACAGTCACTATAATCTATTGTGACAATGTGAGTGTTGTCTATCTATCTGGCAACCCAGTCCAACATCAGCGTACCAAACAAATCGAGATAGATATACATTTTGTGCGTGAAAAAGTCGCCCGCGGCCAAGTACGGGTCTTACACGTCCCTTCACGTTACCAAATCGCTGACATCTTCACTAAAGGACTTCCGTTGCAACTCTTTGATGATTTTCGTGATAGTCTCAACATTCGTCAGCCTCCCGTTTCGACTACGGGGGTATATTAGAATATCATTATTATTATTATTAGGATATCATTGTTGATATATTAGAATATCATTGTTATTATTAGGATATCATTGTTGATATTATCATTAAATAGTCCTGATTGTATATATATCATTCAATAGTCCTGATTGTATATATATCATTCAAAATCAGGCATAAATTTAGAAGTTAGTATACGTTATTGTATTGATTGAAACTACGTTCACATGCTTGATTAATCGAATATGTTATTGTATTGATTGAAACTACGTTCACATGCTTGATTAATCGAATATGTATGAAAAGAGTTAACGAACTCTAATCTTAACATGTTTTTCTTTGCTACCAAACTTATGTTACAAAACAAGAACTGTGTGAAAACCTTTTTTTCTTAGAACTCTAAACTGTTGAATGACAATCATCTAGATATCTTAACAATCCCTGCGGATACGATAAAACAACCCACCTAAAATACTTTTCAACAAAATGACGTCGTTGTCGAGGATTGTTGATATTGATATTGCAAGCATTAAAATAGTTTACTGATTTTAAGATATTTGTATGATAAATTCTTACCTCTGTAATTCTTTGTGCTGCAAGCATTAAAATAGTTTACTGATTTTAAGATATTTGTATGGTAAATTCTTACCTATGTAATTCTTTGTGCTTTGTTTGGCTAGTATGCAGAATCCGTTTATGCGAGGGAGTATTTTCATTGAATGAAAAACAAGAAGAAGAAAAAAAAGACAAAATGGCTCGTAAGTTGGACATGTCGAATGCCTATGATAGGATGGAATGTAGTTTTGTCATTGAAGCCCTTAGGTTCGTGGAGCTCCCACCCTTTATGATTAAGCTAATCTCCTTGTGCATTTCTACGGTCTCTTACCAACTCCTGATCAATGGTCAGCCGAGACGTATCATCCCTTCTAGGGGTCTCTGTTGAGGAGACCCCTCTCACCCTATTTGTTAGTTATCTTTGCAGATGTCCTTTTGGAATGATCAAGAGTGAGGCTCTCTCAAAGAATATTCACGGTGTGCAAGTTGCTAGGAAGGCGCAAATCATTTTTCATTTGTTTTTCGCGGATGATAGTTTGATGTTTTCCATGGCGAATGAAGAGGAGGCGGAACATATAAAGTTAATTCTTGACAAATACCAAAAAGCCTCTGGGAAGTTAGTCAACATTGAAAAGTCTGAAGTTTCATTTAGTTGGAACAATGAAGAAGGGATGCAAGAGAGAATTTGGTCAAGACTTGGATTCAGGGGAGTCATTAGCCATTCTCGCTACCTTGCTCTCCCAGTTGTTTTTGGTAAGTCGAATAAAGAGGTCTATAAGCTGGTTATTGAGCTCGTCTGGAAGAAAGTCAAGGGTTGGACATAAGGTTTTTTATCCAGAGCTGGTAAAGAGGTCCTAATTAAGGCGCTAGCGCAATCAATTCCCACATATATAATGAGTTGCTACAGAATCCCTGATCAGTGTTGCAAGGAAATTGAAGCCATGCTTGCCAAGTTTTTGTGGGGCTCTAAGGAGGGTGAACAGAAAATTCATTGGATGAGTTGGGATCGTTTGTCCCAAAGGAAATGTGAAGGTGGCTTAGGGTTCAGGGGCATTCAGGACTTCAATTCAAGCCTGCTGGGGAAACAATTTTGGAGACTTTTGCAAGCTGATGGGTCGTTATTTGAGAATTTTGGAAGCTTATGGTCGGCATAGTATTTGAAGTGCTAAAGAGGTGGTTGGAGGTTCTAGGTGGAGAATTGGAAATGGTGAAAAGGTGCGCATAGGCAAAGATAACTCGATTCCTACTTCTCCGGGCTTTAAAACGCGTGTCCAGACTTGTGTTCTGGATCCTAGTAGAAAGGTTTGTCATCTTATTGATCGCGAGTTGGGTAGCTGAGATTTACAAGTTTTAAGGGCCAATTTCGATGCTCTGGATATATCTCATATTTGCAGCATTCCTCTTTCCAACAGTTTTCCGGATGATAAGCTAATTTGGCACTTGGAGAAAAATGGTGATTATTCTGTTAAATCGGCCTACCACTTGCTGGGGTGAAAAGAAGAGCTGGTAATCCAAGCCCCTCGATGGGGGATAGGCACAAAGTTAGGGGAAATCTTTGGAAGGTTGTTGTGAATCCGAGGGTCAAGAACTTCGCGTGGAGTTGGATAAGGATATTCTCCAACCAAGAGTAATTTGCGCAAAAAAGTATATCCCTTGATGACACTTGTCCTTTTTGTCATGGTCATTATGAAACATCCCTTCATCTCTTTCTTCGTTGTGACTGCGAGTAATCTTTGCATCCCCACTGGGTGTGTGTATCCTTACGGAAGGGGACGTTATTGACTCGCTATCAGATGTTCTGTCTTGCAAAGTGACTCTCGCCCAAACAGTGGTTATTGGCTTGTGGAGGGTTTGGAAGGCAAGGAACAATCTGATTTTTAATTCTGTTGCTCCTTATCTGTGCTTGGTGGCCGGTGACATTTGGGATTCTATGGTTGAAGCCACTATGGTGTCCAGGGAATTGTTAGTTATATTTAATTATCAATAAGCTACTTCATTTCTATGAATGCATATGGCTATGTTGCAACATTGAAGGATATTATCAATAACCTAATTCAATTCTATGAAGGCATATGGCAATGTTACTATAATTTACAAACTTATGGACATGAAAACGGCAGGGGGTGTAATTTTTTATAATCTTCATTCAATAATGGGGGTACTTCAAATTCTCCATCCATCTTCTTCAATGGTATGATCAACTTTGTTTTCTTTTACACTAACTATATATAATAGCAAGCAATTCATGCTTTAGTAAAAATAATAATAATGCAGCACATGCAGCGAAGCTCTCTTAATCAATGTGAGCATGCGGTAGCAACATGAATTTTCCTTAAAATTTTGTGAACTTGTCATACTTGTTCCAAACACTCTGCATTATTATACATGGTGATATTAATGAAATGGGAATGAGGTTTATGATTGACATGTCCTCCGAGTGTTGGTAAATAGAAAACCTCAGTACTCACTTTGTTTATAATATATATTAAAAAAAAGGGTGCTGTTTTTAACTTTTTGGTTCATATGTATCTATTGGCTGGCATGTTCCATTGTTGGGGAGCTAAATAGTTTAAAGAATGGATTATACAAAGATGAGATCCAGATCTTGTTTGAAATGCAATAAAACATGAGAAGCAGCAGCGCCAATTTTTATATTTGCAATGATGAGTGTTATGTGTCAGCAGAGGAGGCAAATTAATTGATGAGTAATGATGTTTTCTGATAACCAACACTCGGAAGACATGTCAGCTATATTCATCATGCACCTCAAATTCATTTCAATATCATAGCATCTTTGCAGAATATCACATGCAATATCATTAACAAATTCACAATGTTGGGTTGACATGTGACAAGCTTACCATATTCAAAGGGAAATCCATGCATGCACCACATGCTCTACAACATGATTAACAAGTGCTACCTATTTTATTTCTCTATCATATGAAGTTAATAATTATAAACCAATATCATGGTTCATGAGTAGCTCTTATATAAAGAGAGTTTTGATCACTTGGTAACATCACACAACCATTGAGATAAACAATTATCTTAGGAACCAAAAAGAAGAAACAACAAATTAAAGAACAATATGGCAAGCAAGTACCATGTTCGTTCAAATAGTTTTCCTTCTCAATCTCATCCAAGCTCTACAAGAATTGAACAAGAACTCAACAAAATCAAGACATGGGAAGCCACATCTACATCTGATTCAATTAGCAATGGTCTTTCCATGCTTGAAGATTTGTATATTTCTTTGGAAGATCTTCTCAATATGACATCAACACAAAAGGTCATTTCTCATCATCAATGTGAGAAATCCGTGGAAGAGTTGTTGGATGGTTCAATTAAAATTTTGGATATTTGTGGCATCGCAAGAGACACCATGTCAGAAATTAAAGAAAATGTTAAATCACTTCAATCTTCTCTTAGAAGGAGAAAAGGAGATTCAAGCATTGAAAAAAGTATATTCGAATATAAATTCTTCACAAAGAAGATGAAGAAGAATGTCACAAAACTTATTTCATCTTTAAAACGCATGGAATGTAAATTTGGAGCTTCCTCGCTTTTAAATCAAGATCAAGAAGTTGTTGCCGTGATAAAAGCTCTTAGAGGTGTCATTGTAATAAACATGTCACTCTTTCAATCCATTTTGTCTTTCTTAGCTTCCAAGTCAAAGGCAACCAAATGGTTGAAACTGGCAAAATTGGTGCATAGAAAGGAAGTGACGTGTGAAGAGAATTTCAACGAATTGCAGTGTGCAGAAGCATCTTTGAGAACCCTTTTAAGAGAAGGTTCTGATGCTGCCGAGATGAGGGCAGCACATGAAAGTTTGGAGGCTTTGGAGAATGCAGTTGAAAGGATAGAAAATGGTTTGGAGAGCGTGTTTAGGCGTTTGGTTAAAACCAGAGTGTGTTTTTTGAACATCATGACTCAATAGTTTGTTGGGTCTTTATTTTCTTTTCAAAGCATCCAAATTTTATGGATCAGCTGAGTATTATTTTTGTCTAATCAATTTGTACAGATACATACAATTCAATAGTAACACATCAAGATCAATTACAATGAAAAGTTTATACGAATTATTACCCTCTACTCATTTCATGTTATTTTTTCTCCATCTTTTCTTGTATTTTTTACAATAAAAAAAGGATTGATATGTGCCTAAGATCATGATATTATTTTGAGCATATAAAATTCAACAAACTATTGAAATGGAATATAAGATACAGAGTAATAATTGAGCATATAAAATTCAACATAGTAATGAAATGGATATAAAATGACATGACTCTGCAGATGACAAAGAGCAAACCAGCATACTCCAAATTACATGAACACATAGATAACTGCTATTAGTGCCAAATATTACTTATGTACTCTAAACAGATTAAGATTCAGACTCTAATACTAGCCAACCATGTTTTTGATTTTTCAAAAAAGCTGGAAACATAATTAGGAGGGGCTACGCAAACGCAAGCCGGAGTAAAAGTCTTTAAAAACGCGTCTTAATGTGATAGTTCTAAGATACACCATCTAATTTGAGTTGAATGTGTCAGCCTCATATGTTAGATAGCTCAGTGGCAAGAAACTGATATAAAAACTAGTATATCATTATTCATCTCCTTTAGAAATGGTTTCATGTTCACTTTACAGAACTATTGGTTTCATTCCAATCTTCAAATAGTACCTACAATAAAACAGAGAATAACTAACATAAACAATTAGTGACAAATACTAAAATTCAAACATAAACCTGAACTAAATTTGCAAAGCCCTCAACTAGGAGGACTCTCCCAAAAACTTGTGTATGCCACACTTATGTGACAGCCATGGTATTCTTTAGTAAAAGGCATAATAGTTCGCTATATCATAACCACACAGCTCCATGATTATAGATAACAGAGGTCCTTTCATTTTATATGTGAGTAATTTAGTTTCTTTTGCACAGTAGAATATGTGGGATTTGATCTGTTACCCACTCTCTTGACCAGACCTTTAATAACTAACTCTGGTTAAGTACATATAAGCACGGCCTTACTCAAGCAGGATCTGCTCTATAGGCTTGTATACTCTGTCCTTGACTAACCTCGGAGTTGACCTACATGTGATGGGCATCATCCTCAGCTGTAGATAAATTTGTTCTCTGTTGGTTTATCTGAACGGGGGTGGTCACATGGTTGTGTGACAGACTCAAACCTTTAATCTTTTTGTTTTTGCATTGCAACAAATCCATAACATCATAATACAAATTTTTATGACAACACATCCAGGAAGGTGAAAGTTGATTTTCTAACGAGTGGCATTCTATTAACTACCTTGCTTTCCAAAGAGAACATGAAAGCTTATTGTTGTTTATGCTTTCGGGACCCTTTCCCTCTTCAGAGCTTAACAAGGAGATCCAAACTGCATAATGCAGAACCAATTTTACTGGGAAATAAACATTAACCGAAAGGGCTTTTTTTCTTTCATCTCTTTGAAGGGCTTTTTGGGCCATTTACCAAGACAAAAGCATTCTAGTGAGTGGCTCTCTTCCAATTAATGGGCATATACACTCTCAACTTTTTCTTTAACTAAACCTCTAAAGATTATTGAACTTCATCTGGTTAAGTTTCTATCAATGATAGATTACAATTGAAAAATTGCATAAGAATTATCTTACCTAAACTCTAGACTGCAAAATTCTGCAGTAGACAAAAAGGTCAATGATCCTGCAGTCAATGCAGTCAAAGGCTCCAGTCCAGCTACCACTGGTTCCATTTTCCATTCATTCATCATCACCTAAAAATCACTTGTAGAGAAAGATAGAGAGAGGGCACTTACAGAGGTTATTACAATTTGCATGAAAGAGGTTATTTCAATTTGCATGAAATCTATTTCTTGAAAAAAGAGTATAAGCCATAATCTCTAAATAAAAATTGTATTCTTAAGTAGAAGGAGCTGCGCAAACACAAACCCCCACAGCAACAAATTATGATATAGGTCAAACCCCCACAGCAACAAATTATGATGTAGGCTCCACCACTTGGGTAGACCTTAGGCTAGCACCCCTCCTAAATGCAATGAAGGTCACTTGCCTAGGCCATAGACCTTAATGATTATCTATTGACCCCAGGTAAGTATGTTAAAATGAATCACACGCTTTTATTTTATATCTCATGTTCCGTACTATTCACCCTAACAATTCCGATGTGGGATTTAGATAACATTGTATCAATTCATTCTAAAGAAGAAAAGGAAAAAAAATACCATCTCAGTGCTGGAATTGTGTGAACACAGCCTATATTCACTTAGTGGATCAACAGTTTATACACCAACTCACATTTGCCACCTCCGTTAGGATCAAAATTGATAAAGTGTTTACAAGCATGTTGCAGTTCTGAAATCTCTTAAGTGAACATATGAAATCTTTGTTACATGATCTCCTCATTTTCCCTCTATGTTTTTTAGTACAGTTATTAATATGTTGTTATGAAATTAAATGAGATTAAATCTTACCATTCACATCAATTTTAAATTTGATCCAAATAAAGTTTTTAATCTGGAAAAAGTATTAGAGGAGAAAACCAAGAGGTTTATGATAGTTGAAGATTGTCATTTTATGGCTGGGCTATTATGATGTTAAAAGTTATGATATAGTATGAATTGATACAATGTTAAAAGTTATGATATAGTATGATGTTAAAAGTTATGATATAGTATGAACAAAATTATAGATTTGGAAGAATCAATAATACAAGACTTAAGGCTAAAGAGAATTTTTCTTAAATAAATATTAACTTTGAACTAAATTTGTAGGACTTTACCCAAAAGAGAGCCTTCCAGAAATTCTCAAAGGCTTGAGTTGAACCCAAGCCTAAGAGGGGGTTTGGAAATAGTTTTCAACCAGCAATAGACGCGCCTCAGTTAGTACCTCACTAGCTGCGTCATTGCTCCAAGCGCAAAGATAGATTTAACAAAGAATAAGCTTCGTTTTTATATAACTCCAAACGTATCTAATTCTTCTCATTAGCATTGTGGAACTAGGAAGTTTTAGCAACAACTAAGACAAGCAACTGTAGAAAAATATCCCATACATCAAACATGTACTAAAATTCTTGAATTTCACTTTCTTCTTCTAATCCAGCCACAAAATGACAACGGTAACTTATCCAGCTAGACTTAATTTCTTTTGTCCCTCAATGCATTTCCAATGGTAATTTTTCATATACGAGTACAAAATATTCAAGACCAAACTAAAGACAGAATAAAGTGTCTAGCCATTGATTATCGGTAACAATTAATGACACAAACATACAGTGAAAAATTAATTGAACTGAAGAGTGATAATCCTTCTCTGTTGGAACTACAATAAGTAGAATTCTAAATACATACACCCCATCAGAATAGTTAAGCATAGAGGAGTATACATACTGAGCCACTGCTGAACATTTATCCAATCACTGGATTTCACCTGTGGTATAAAAAAAATTAACTTCACTGGTTATATTAAGGGGAAAATATCAAAGGTGCCTCTTCTATTATTCCATTTTTTGTCTAAAGTTGCAGCATCTGCTAAATGATTTTAAAAGGCAATCATAAAATAGTTCTTCAAACTTCTTCTATAGTGACAAGGAAACAGAAACATTTCAGAATAGTCACAAATATTGTTGTGTACGTTTTTAGTTTTTCCAATAAATACCTATTATTTAGGCTAGAGCAGGTCAATTTCTGTTTTGCTATTTTTTTGCTATTAGTGGAGTTAGTGGAGCTAGTTGAGTCATGTCCTTTATTTTAGGATTTGCAGTTATTTACAGTTTTTATGTATTCCTTATAAAAAGGCATTGGAACCTATGAATAAAGCGATCAATTTTCTGGTGCAATTCACTTACAGTTAACAATTGGCATCAGAGATAAAGCAAAGCAAAGTGATCCAAGAGAGAGAAGATGAGCGACGACAAAACAGTCACCAAGATTCCACAGTTTGATGGTCACTATGATCATTGGAGTGAACTGATGGAAAACCTCTTGCGTGCCAAGGGTGTGTGGAGTCTAGTGCAAGAGGGTTACACCGAACCGGCGGAGGGAACCGAATCGACTACAGAGCAAAAGAAGACTCTGGAGGATCTCAAGATGAAGGACTGTCAAGTGAAGCACTACCTGTTCCAGGCAATTGACCGGGTTGTGTTTGAACAGATCTTGGATCGCAGAACATCCAAGATCATTTGGGATTCGATGAAGAGAAAGTTTGGAGGCAACGAAAGGGTGAAGCGGTCCCTTCTTCAAACCCTGAGAAGAGATTTTGAGCTTCTTGCAATGAAGAATGAAGAAAGCATTGATGATTACTTTGGAAGAGTAATGTCTGTCTCCAACAAGATGAGAAGCAACGGAGAAGACATGTCAGATTCGAAGATTGTTGAGAAAATACTTCGGACTTTGACTAACAAGTTCACATATGTGGTGGTGTCCATTGAGGAGTCAAAAGACATAGAAAAGATGACGATTGACGAACTTCAGAGCTCTCTGTCCGTACATGAAAAGAAATTTAAGAAGATCAGTCATGAAGAAGATGATCAAGCTCTCAATGTCAGAGGCAGAGGCAGAGGATCATACAGAGGTCGAGGCAGGGGCAGAGGACGCTCATTCAACAAAGCAACAATCGAGTGTTACAACTGCCACAAACTTGGACATTTCCAATATAAATGTCCAAATGGGAACAATGGAGCACATTTTGCAGCGATCGAAGAAAAGGATGAAGTTCTTCTTATGGCATATGTGGAACTTCAAGGTACTAGAAAAGGAGATGTGTGGTTCGTGGACTCTGGATGTTCAAACCATATGTGTGGAGAAAGAGACATGTTCTCAAGCTTGGACACTAGCTTCACACATAATGTCAAGCTTGGGAACAATCACAAACTGATGGTTGGTGGGAAAGGAGTGGTGAAGATAATGCTTAAGGGA